GAAGGGCCTTCGAGGTACATATAAGTATTATAACCCTCCGTGGAAATTCTTAACTGGTAAGCTGAACTTAAGTCAGTGATTTTTTTTTTTTTTTTAGCCACCTTTGGCTATCCAAAACTATAAACCTAATTTGAAGTAAACATTTGTATTCAGCAATCCTTCATAGTCCATGTATGTTAAGTCTACATTCAGCTTCTGAGTTGGGCTGTGGATATGAGTTCCAGAGGTGACAGAGCCAAGGTGGTAATAGTTCACGACAATGTGTTTTTACGCCATTCGGATAAACACGGTGTTATTCACTGGTACTGCTGGTAACTACCAAATGGAGAAACGGAGCTCAGCTGGGAGACATCATCAGGTATGGGCGGACCTAGAAATAAACATAGCACACAGGTTTACATTTCAGTTTGTGCAGGGGAGGAAGGATATTCACTTACCGTTCAACTGCTAGAGACGATTTCAAACAAATATAAAAGGTTTTTTTTCACAGACTGAGAAACAGAATATGGGTCTGCCAATGGGCTTCAAGCTTGTGTAGAAGGGAAAAATCAGTTTTATTCTGTAATCTGTTTAAAACACTTGTGAGATCATTTAGAACTCATATGACATGCTTCAAGCAGCTTTTGGATACTTAAAAGGATAAGTTCACCTTTGGGAACATGGTACATGTCTCACTTGTTTTTAGGGTGAAACATGTAACATGTTCTCAATGCTACAGCCATGCCCTCCCTCTGACAGATAATATGGGGAGATGTTTCCCTGTACTATCTGTCAGATTTGAAACCAGAGCAGCTGTGCAGACTTCTGTGAATGAACTACCACAGCGATGTGGAGCACTGTGGTAGTTCATTGACACTTCCTGTCAGAATATCTGCTTGCTCCTGCATCCCATACGGCAAGCAGATATTCTGACAGGTCTGCAGGAGACCTGCATGTCATCAGTGATCTATGAATCGCTGGTGCAATACTTTCCAGGCTCCTTTGGACAAAAATAACAAATGCACATTTTTTTTTTACCGGCAAGGTCCTTTAAGTCCTAACATCAGGTAGCGGTGCAGTGTTTTACAAACTTTCTCTCCCATTTTGTATTGTATTAACCACTTCAGCTCCAGCCCATTTCTGGCGCTTTTTGTTTACATATTAAAATCTTAGGTGCACTAAATGGGCAACAATGAGATGACCCCCCAAAACAGGAATGGTTTTACAGGTGAAGGCCACTGACATTTTTTTCCCCCCACTCATTTTTTCTGACAATACCTGGACCCTACAGAGGTTGCACAGGCAGTCCAGCACTTCCAGGATGGCACATCAATACCTGTCATTGTCAGAAGGTTTGCCGTGTCTCCCAGCACAATCTCAAGAGCATGGAAGAAATTCAAGGAGACAGGCAGTTACTCTAGGAGAGCTGAACAAGGCCGTAGAAGGTCCTTAGCCCATCAGCAGGGGAGGGGGGGAGAGGGAGGGGGGGGAGAGAGAGGGGGGGAGAGGAGGGGGGGAGAGAGAGGGGGGGGAGAGAGAGGGGAGGGGGGGAGGGGGGGGGGGGGGGGAGAGGGGGGGGGGGGGGAGAGAGAGAGGGGGGGGGGGAGAGAGGGGGGGGGGGGGAGAGAGAGACAGAAAAGAGAGAGAGAGATAAGTAGGGTTTTGAGGGACCAAAAAGTTGAGATATAATTAGCCTCGTAGAGGGCGTAGTATGAGTTTGTGAGGTTAATCCCTAGTATTCTAAGTACACGTTGGGCCAGGTGAAGATATAATTTAGTTTTAGTAAATTAATGTCTGCCATGGGAATGGAAACGTTAAGGGCCGAGGATTTGTCTTCATTTACTAATAGACCCAAAATATTGGAAAATTTGGATAAAATTGGAAAAAAGGGTAGGTAAAGAGGTGTGTGGTTGGGTCAGAGTCAAAAGAAGGTTGTCAGCGAATGTGCTAACTTTAAAGGCCTGATGAGCAAACGTGACTCCTTTGATGTCCAGATTAAGTCTTATAAGCTGAAGTGAAAGTTCCAGGGCTAGAACAAAAAGAATTGGGGAGAGAGGGGCATCCCTGGGATGTTCCTCTATGAATAGAGAAAGTGAAGGATTGTCTGGAAAGGTAACGGACCGTAACTGAGAGTCCGCGGTAGAGAGCCTTCAGTATATGAAGGGGGGTGGAAACTCCCATTTTTTTCAGAGCCTAGTACATGTATTCCCAGGAAAGTGAGTCAAATGCTTTATGTAATTCTAGGCTCAGAATCATGCCAGGAGATCTGTGTTGTAGCAAATGGATTAGATTGACAACCTTACGTGTATTGTCCGAAGCCTGTCAGAGGGGTACAAAGCCCCCTTGATCTTTGTGAATGAGATGATGTAAGAAGTAATTAATTAAAGTGGGGAGAATTTTCATTAAGATTTTTATGTCAACATCTGATAGTGAACTGGGTCTAAAGTTATGGGGGGTCTTTTCCAGGTTTCGGGATCATCACTATTGGAGCTGCCATAGATGACGGGTGTGAAGATCTGAATCGAAGCGTAAGTAGTTGAAAAAGTTGGTAAGACAAGAAGTCGGAAATTTTTTTTTATAATATAACCCCGAAAAAACAGTCAGGTCCAGGGTGTTTTTGCATCTTGAGTGTTTTTATTGCAGCAAGGACCTCTGGTACAGTAATATCAGCTTTCAGTTTGTCTACTGCATCATTTTTTCACTTTGATTTTTGGGGTGTCTTTGAATTCAGTCCTCTGCAGGTTGATAATTTTATGTAGAGCAACAATTCTTTTTTCAGATCCTCAGAGTTCTTTGCCATGAGGTGCCATGTTGAAATTCCAGTGACCAGTATGAGAGAGTGAGAGTGATAACACCAAATTTAACACACCTGCTCCCCATTCACACCTGAGACCTTGTAACACTAACAAGTCACATGACACCAGGGAGGGAAAATGGCTAATTGGGCCCAATTTGGACATTTTCACTTAAGGGTGTACTCACTTTTTTTTCCCGCAGTTTAGACATTAATGGCTGTGTGTTGTTATTTTGAGGGGACAGCAAATTTACACTGTTATACAAGGCTGTACACTCACTACTTGTAGCAAAGTGTAATTTCTTAAGTGTTGTCACATGAAAAGATATAATAAAATATTTACAAAAATGTGAGAGATGTACTCACTCATGTGAGATACTGTGTTTGTGCATATGTGTATTTTACACACACACACACATATATATATATATATATATATATATATATATATACATACACACATATACATACACACACATACACACACACACATATACATACATATACATACACACACTAAAGCAGAGGCTCTGAAGAATAAACTGGTTTTTGTATTTTTAACGAGTGGTCTTTAACCACTTGCCTACCGGGCACTTATACCCCCTTCTTTACCAGGCCAATTTTCAGCTTTCAGCGCTGTCGCATTTTGATTGACAATTGCGTGGTTATGCAAGATTGTACCCATATGAAATTTTTATCATTTTTTTTCTCATAAATAGAGCTTTCTTTTGGTGGTATTTACTCGTCGCTGGGTGTTTTACTTTTTGCGCTATAAACAAAAAAAGTGCAAAAAATTTGAAAAAAAAAAAAAAAAAGTTGTTTCTATTATAAAATTTTGCAAACAGGTAATTTTTCTCCTTCGCTTATATGCGTTGATGAGGCAGTGCTGATGGGCACTGATAGGCAGCACTGATGGGCAGCACTAATGAGGTGGAATGGATAGGCGGCACTGACAGGCATCACTGCTGGACACTGACTGGCAGCACTGTTGGGCACTGACTGGCGGCACTGTTGGGCATTGACTGGAGCAAAAGCTAAACACTGCCTGGCACAACCGCTGGGCACTGACTGGCAGCACTGATGGGTGGCACTGGTGGGCACAGGTAGGTGGTACTTCTGGGTGGCACTGGTGGGCACAGGTGGGTGCACTGCTGGGTGGCACTGGTGGCACAGGTGGGTGCACTGCTGGGCACAAGTGGGCGGAACTGGTGGGTGGCACTGCTGGGCACCAATCATCAGGGCACTGATCATCAGTGCCCTGATGATCGGTGCCGATCCCTGCTCTAACTGCCGGTTCTCGGCAGTACTTTCCTCACGATCTGACAGCGTGTGGAAAGTGCAGCCGAGAACCGGCAATTGCATTTCCCTGTGATCAGCGTGCCATTGGACAAGGCTGATCACGTGGTAAAAGGCCACTGTGATTGGCCTTTTACCACATCAAGTGATCAGCTGTGTCCGTGGGACACAGCGATCATGGAGATCGCCGGGTGCGCGCCCCCTGGGGCGCACAGGAGAGCGTGTTCTGGGAGGACGTCATATGACACCCTTCCAGAACTGGCTGCCTGCAGTGTAGCCGTCATTGGGCTATCTGCGGTTGGCAACTGGTAAAATGTAGAAATTTATGAATAACTGCCATAATTGCTCTGCCAAACAGCTGTTGAGATTTCAGTCACACACAATTGTGCAATGTTTTTAATAATGCAGCTGACCTATTTCCCTCTCTTGCTCCATCTGACAGTGCAACTGGTCAACAATGTAAGTCAGGAAGTAGAACCTGCATAAGTAATCGTCAAATACAGTTCCCCCATGTAGATATGGAATTGCAAACATGTCAATTTGTAATTTTTTCTTTGTTGTGAATCAGAAATGTAGAAGATTATTTAGATAAAGATAAACTTTTAAATGACTGACTATCTATAAATACTACAGATTTCCTGAGGGGTAGTTACTAAGAACAAAAACAAATTTTCAAGAGTTTTTCTCCCAGGCCCAAAACATCCACACAACAGCTCTACCCAAATACCAATGTGACTTGATAATGTTGACATCCACCCAACTTAACTTATATCCACTTAAAATCATGTCAGTATAAAGCATGTATAATAGGAGGAAAACACAACCCTATAGTTTTTCTCAAACTGCTATATACAAATAAGCAAACAAAACATCTGACATAAGCAGATGCCCTTGCTGTTTCTTACTTGCCCCCTTCTACCATTGTATCTTTTTACTGCTGTTTTTCTGCACAACTGCAGGTACAGTACTTGTTATTGTGTACTGTAGTATGTGTAAAACCCACCCTTGTTATATCTATTACATTGTAATACCGATTTAACCTACCGTTTGCAAACTGTGATGAGGCAAATCGCGTTAGCAGGATACCTGCTCCTTCTATGAGAGCAAGAAGTATGCCACCCATTGCAGCGGATCCCACCATGGCTACAGGACCATCTAAGAGAAAAATGCAAAAGACAAATTAGCATTGTTATATAGCACATGGAGGGAACTAACCACACATCACACTGTAAACCAGAAGCCAAAAATAAGCACAGGGCTTTTGTTACCCGTGTCAGTCTGACACTCACTTCTGGCAGCCAGAATTGCCCCAGTCATGGCTCCACTGGTGATAGAGTTCCAAGGATCCTCCTTTCCTCTAACCTTTACCAGACTGCAGTCAATCATGGAGAAGAGGCCTCCCCACACTGCAAAGCTACCTGTTAAAAAAAATAGTGAGATGTAGGAATGAACATTGTCATATTCACACAATGATCAGTAAACCTGTAACACAAGTGAGTTCATATTAATAGCCATCACAAATGTATATGCAACAGTTCCAAAGAATGTACAGAATGTGAATAACCATAAAAATACCCTTATGGCAAAAACATGTAATGACAATCTCTACTCTTTTCTGAATAATTTTTAATTCATAGGCTTTTATATTTTTCTACACTTTTACAAGGATACCAGCAAAAGTGACAGGGATGGGTCAAACTGGTGTAGGGGTTGATCAGGTGTGTTTACAATGGTTAAAGCTGATCTCCAGGATAAGCAGATTTTGTTTAACCACTTGCCTACAGGGCACTTATACCCCCTTCCTGCCCAGGCCAATTTCCAGCTTTCAGTGATGTCACACTTTGAATGACAATTGCACGGTCATGCAACACTGTACCCATATGAAATTTTCATCTTTTTTTGTGACAGAGCTTTATTTTGGTGGTATTTAATCACCTCTGGGTTTTTTATTTTTTCTTAAACCAAAAACTGCTGAAATCTTTGAAAAGAAACCAAAACATTTTTTCTTAGTTTTTGTTATAAAATTTTGTAAATAAGTGATTTTCTCCTTCACTGATGTGCGCTAATGAGGCTGCAGTGATAGACACTGATAGGCTGCACTGAAGTTTTTTTTTCGCCATCATGTCCATATTCCAGCTACATGTACATGTCCCACATATCTCTGTGCTATAGTTCATGATGATTTCTTCTGAATTTGTAATGTCTAATTTTTTAGTGTTCTGCTCAGCATGTGATTTTATGTTGACTTATTTAATATTTATTCTTAAATTATGTAATATGCATCAGAGCACACTTTTTATAATAGTATCCTGGCGTTATCACCTCCCTTACATAGTATTCCGTTAGAGTACTTTTGTTCCCCCCCCCCACCATTTCAGCTAGTTTCTCTCCAATATCCTGATTGCATAGGTGCAGCGTTTTATGTACCTATGTATCATATGCAGCAGTATATATATATTTTTTTTCGCCATCATTTTTATATGTACATTTTTTATATACCCCTGTACAATACTTTGATGTTGTTATAATAATCTTTTGTTCTGCCCAGCATAAGATCTTATTTTATATTCATTTCTAAATTATATATTTATGAATTTGAGCATATTCTATGCTCCGACATTCCACTTTTACCACCCTCCTTATATATAGTTCATTTCAGACGAATTTGCTTGTAATGTGACTTTTTGTTCTGTTCCTTTAAGTTTAGATGAGCGTTGCGGTCCCACGATGAATACTAGCTCTATTTAAGCAGTCCTTTTCCTGGCAATATCAGGCCTATAGAAGGAGCTAGAGGCTCCAAGCGCGTAGCCTGTCCTGTGTTCTTGAGATCTTCCGAATGGCTCTCCTACTTCTGGTGATGTCACTTCCGCGTGTGTGTTTCACGCTGGTCGTGCAGCCATTTCCTGGATACAGACACAGTTGACCGGCTCCAGCCCAGCCACACACCCAGGGGAGTCCCTCCACTGCACCAATGGCTCCAGCTGTCACTCTGGCTTGCCCGGCGGTACCGTATAGGATGGAAGAGAGTGGTCCTACACAGATGACCTTTTATACAGATGAGCTTTATTATATCTTTGTTCTTGTGAGTGTTTTATACCCGTCCATTAAAGGTGACAACAAATAATCCGCACTTAGTTTTTGGCACCTCCTTTTTTCTCTCCTCTATTTACTCAGTGCAACCTCATCTTTTATATTTTACAATTAAATAAAATTAACTTAAAATTAACTGTATTTTTTTACTGAAATTTTACAGTAATATTGGTAACATCATGTGACATACAAAAATTGGAACTACCACTATTTTATTCTCTAGGGTCTCTGCTTTCAGAAAATATATCATGTTTTGGGGTTTTGTGTAATCTTCAAGCCTAAAATTATTTTTTACACTTGGGGAAAAACCGCAAAAACAGCTCTGGCAGCAAAAGGGATAAAGGATAAGCCTGACACTCCCCTTTCCCGAGGAGCACCCAATCGGTGCTCATTACACTGCAAGGTCTCTCTCCTCCCTGCTAGTCCCTGGGTGCAGTGCTGGAGACATGCAGGGAGGGGAGGAGGAGATAAACAGTGCAATGTTAAAAATATTAAACGCTTAAGTCGCCATAAAGCCCCTTTCGATTTTAAAAGCCCCAGACATTCCTAAAAGCACCTCAGATTTAAATATGGTTTTGGTTAAAAAGTATGTATTTTTTTTTTATGTATTTATTTTTTATCTGGACAAGTAAATTGTCATGAGGGACAAGTAGACTAGGACCCCAATTTAGTCCCTGGACAAGTAGTTTTTTGTTTTTTTTTCATTTCCACACCCCTGCCTGCCATATCAAAGTTTTCCCTGTACGTTGTCTATGTTTATTTCCTATGACTGTCAGCTTCATCTAGTGGACATAATGCTGCATTTTCCAAATTAACCACTTGCCGTCCTGCCGCTGTATATTTACTGTGCTGGGGAGGCACAGAGAATTATTTTTTATATGTGATTTGCCTGCTTCCGGGCTTGAACACAGCACAACTATGGCAACTGAGTTCAGCCAATGATTCTGGTTGAAGTCAGCTGATCATCTGTGCCCAATCACACACAGAAATCTGTGTTTACTGTATAGCTATTCCCTGTACTCATTTCAGTGTTTTGTAAAGTAAAGCCAGCACACACACATTGTTAGGCACACAGTTAACCCTTTGATTGCCCCTAGATGTTAACCCTTTCCAGCCAGTGTCATTAGTACAGTGACAGTGTATGGTATTAATACTGCCCACCACTTTCACACAAAACCAAACCAATTAATATACACTTATTGGGATATTTTTTTTTTACAAAGACATGTAGCAGAATACATTTGGCCTAAATTTGTGAAGAAATTAGATTTTTTAGATTTTTATTGGCTATGTTTTATAAAAAAGTAGAAGATATCTTTTTTTTTTTTTCAAAAGTTTTGGTCTTTTTTCATTTAAATAAAAGAACCTAGTGGTGATCAAAAGAAAGCTCTATTTGTGTGATGAAAAAAATGATATAAATTTCATTTGCGTGCAGTTTTGGTGACTGAGCAATTTCTAGGCAAAGTAGCGCAGTGCTGAATAGCAAACAAAATACCCTGGTTATAAAGCGGGCAAAACCTTCTGAAGGTCAAGTGGTTTAAGTATTTCAAGAAAATAGCACATCATGCCACTAGATGGAGCTGGAAGTCATAGGGAATAAACATAGGACGAAACATGGAAAAATGGTTACAGATGGGTGAATGCTTGACACTTTTTTTTTTTTTTTTTTTTTTTTTGAAACAAGAATAGACCCCGTAATACTTTGAGATCCCACGGAATGCAGAATAGTTAAAATCTCATATAAAGATGCTGCAGCATCTTCCTTTCAGAGGGATTGAGAGATGGTGACATCACCCTTGCCAAACACACAATGAGAGAAGGTCAGACCATATTTTTTCCCAATGGTTGTTTTTTTAAGTTCAATTTTGCTAAATTTTGAAAATAAAACCAGACCTTGCTATTTTGGTGCAAGGTCAGCTTGAAAAAGGGAAAAATAAAACTGCTCCAACAGTGCTGTATTTGTATTAAGGATGGGGACCTTTATGTATCTTTTTTCTACCCTCTTTGACATGCCATACTGAGGAGCTCCAAATGCAGAGGTGAAGCATACGCTGTACATGAAAAATCAGTGTCTGGACTTGTGAATGAACAGGCATACTTGTACTATGCAACACACAAGAAAGGCATCATCATTGGACATGACATCTCATCAGGATCTTAACAGTTACAGTTGCAAGAAAAAGTATGTGAACCCCTTGGGATTACTTGGAGTTTTGCATGAATTGGGCCTAAAATGTGCTCTGAACGTCATCTAAGTCACAACAATAGAAGAACACAGTCTGCAGAACATAATACTACACAAACATTAGATGTTGCCATGGTTTAATTGCACATAAATGTAAACATTCACAGTGCGGGGAGGAAAAAGTATGTGAGGCCCTAGCTTAATGACTTATCCCAGAGCTAATTGGAGCCAGGAGTGAGCCAACCTTGACTCCAATCAGTGTGATGATATTGGATATGTTGCTGACAGCTGTCCTGCCCTTAAAAAACACACCTGTTTTGGGTTTACTGGTTTCAAGAAGCACTGTCTGATGTGAACCATGCCTCGCAGAAAAGAGCTCTCAGAAGACCTACGATCAAGAATTGTTGACTTGCATGAAGCTGGAAAGGGTTACAAAAGTATCTCCAAAAGACTTGATGTTCATGTGTCCACGGTAAGACAGACTGTCTACAAATGGAGAAAGTTTAGCACTGTTGCTACTCTCCCTAGGCGTGGTCGTCCTGTAAAAATGACTGCAAGAGCACAGCGCAGAATGCTGCATGAGGTAAAGAAGAATCCCAGAGGTCAGCTAAAGACCTACAGAAATCTCTAGCACATGCTAACATTTTTGTTGACACATCTATAATAAGGAAAACATTAAACAAGAATGTAGTACATGGGAGGACACCACGGAGGAAGCCATTGTTGTCCAAAAAAAATATTGCAGCACGTTTGAAGTTTGCAAAAGAGCACCTGGATGTTCCACAGCACTACTGGCAAAATATACTGTGGACAGATGAAACCAAGATTGAGTTGTTTGGGAAGAACACACAATACTATGTGTGGAGAAAAAAAGGCACAGCACACCAACATCAAAACTTATCCCCACTGTAAAACATGGCGGAGGGAGCATCATGCTTTGGGGCTGCTTTGCTGCCTCAGGGCCTGGACGGATTGTTGTCATTGATGGGAAAATGAATTCCAGAGTTTATCAAGACATTTTGCAGGAAAACGTATGACCATCTGTCCGCCAACTGAAGCTCCGCAGAGGATGGGTGATGCAACAGGACAATGACCCAAAGCATACAAGTAATTCAACAAAACAATGGCTGCAACAGCCCAGAA